CTGCTTCTACTCAAAGTACCGGAAGGTAGAGCAACAGCACATGGTCTGTCCCTGCCGTCACGACCATCTATCCTGGTCGTTTCTACCGTGCTATACATCTCGATCCCCCTACTCCCCCCCAACCTGTGTTCACACGACGACTGGATTCCACCGATCGGCGTGCACCTCCGGCAGGGAAAGAGCGCGACTCCGCCCCCGAGTCACGGTGACGAGGGGAGGAAGGAGGCCCCGGTGAGCAGAGACCCCCCCCCGCAGTCCCCACCGACTCCACCGCCGGAAAACCTGAAAGATTGTTCGTTTTCGGACCCGCCCACGGGGTCCCCGCGAGCGAGCCCGCGCGCCCAGGGGGGGAGTGTCGCGCATTCTCTTACCCCTCAGGACGGCGGTAGTAGGGGGCAAGAGAAGGTCCGGGGAGGATCTCCTTAACTTTGGGAACGACTCCGGGGCTTATCGCCCGAACCAGGCGCCGGAGCCCCCCCCCCCCCGACCAACCACTAACGGCGGCCGTAGCCCGGTGCCGGCGGGGTGGGGCAACCGTCCCGCGGCGGCGGGCGGCAGCGCCGTCGCCGGCTGTGCAGGAATTAGCAACGGCGGTGCTTCCCTACCGGGCCGTAAATCGACCGCGGGGCGCATGCAGGCGGCGGCGGCGGGGCGGACGAACGGAGGCGGGTCGCGGGGGCCGACCGGTGCACCCGTTAACAACGGGTGATTGGTGTTTGGGTGTATCTAGTAACCCCCCGAGGGTCTGCACCACTGCCGCTGCTCCTCGCCTTCGGTGTTGCGGCTTTGGCCGGAAAGCGGCCAGTTACTTGATATTTCGGTTCGTGCTGTTAACTTGCTACATAGCTCCCCAGATTGCACCGCCACTTGGTCGGGCGATTTGTTGGTCGGTGAAGTGTTGATCGAGGTGCTCAGCGTGGGTGTGGAAGAGACAGGAGACACTTTCGCGTTGGTATCGGAGACAATCCTCTCGCCAGGCCGATTGCCCTATTGGGAGCACGCACGTTCTGGGGAAGAGATAAAACATGCATGCATATGCATACGATGTTCCGCAGGCATCGGGCTGATGATCTCCATGCCTTCTTCTATTTATGTGTGTAATCGACACTGGGGGGTGACGAGGTGGTAGTTGAAAAAATCTAAGGTGTTGGACGTTCCCAGTCTTCTTTTGCGTTTTATTCACGCTGCTGTCTCTGTTGATATTTTGGGGCACCCTGTTACGTCTCGAGCGTCTGAAGTGGAAGTTTGTTGTGTTGGATTAGTGTTTCGTTTGCCACGCGCACATCAAAGGCGAGAACGCAACATAGGCAGGACACGCACGTGCTTTGTGGCAAGCGTGACTTCCAAAGGTGTTTGCCTTTGGTAAGGGCGTAGGGTTCCATGTGTGGAAGGGATGTTTGCCGTTGAGGGAGAGCATCTCTCGCCCCTCTTCCCTGCCGTCGTCTTGATGTGACGTGACGCCCTTTGGTTGCCAAGCATTTGCCGCAATGTAAGATACAGTCACCAGGAGCCATATATAGATATATGTCGTCGCCGAATGATTCTTGGAACGATATGGCCACGCTTTTCCGGCCGAAATGGTTGCCGTTTGGACGACCCAGGGAGTGTTACCGACGAAAACATCATAGGGCGGAAGAAGGTTTTATCTATCAGTGCTATGATACTACTGCTGTTTCATGGGCAAGTTGTTGAAAGGAGACCAGGGTACCGTTCACTGCTGATGTGCTACGGGCGGATGGGGGGGGGGGGGGGGGGG